AGACAGGAAACCCTAGACAATATCTATTTAAGAATTAACCCCCGTTTAGAATTACTAATCACGGGTCCAGAATCTCCCTGTGTAGAGATCCATTTGTGGTGTCCCCATCTTTATTTAGGGAGCTATCTATGCTATACTCCTCCTTGGTGCCTGTGTTGCTATAACAAGTTGAACAAGGAGGACATGAGCGAGTGTTTAAATGACAGTAGCTTACTCTTAAGAGCTTGTAGAAGTAGCCAAATAAAGCATTAATCAAAAGGACAGATAAGTTTGAGAAAGAGATAACCTATCCATCAGTTTCTTTATACAAGAAAACATTGTATTTGTGTGTAAAGTACACAGTCCCCTCATATACTTTACACCTGTTTTTAGATTACTAATAATATGTAAGTCAACACAAATAAATGAGTAGTCTAAATAAATAGAAAGTCACATTGTAGCGTTTAGGGAAAGTTATAAGAACACAATTGTGCATGTTTTAATATTGAATTTTTGTTGTAGGATTAGAGATCAAACCCAGGGCTTTTGCAAAGTAGGCAAGCACTACTACTGGCTTATATCCCCAACTCCTAATATAATTAATTTTTTATTTGAGAATTTAAAAAGGTATATTATGAGTTTTCCTTTTACCAAATCCCTCCTAATTTTCTCCTTTCTATTTTCACCACTATCTTCCTCCCAACTTCAAGTGAATTTTGTTTGTTTGTTTGTGTTTTGTTTTTTCAAGACAAGGTTTCTCTGTGTAGCTTTGGAGCCTGTCCTGACTCTTACTCTGTTTATCAGGTGTCCTTGAACTCACAGAGATCTGCCTGCCTCTGCCTCCCAAGTGCTGGGATTAAAGGTGTGCACCACCACTGCCCGGCCACTTGATCTTAGTTTTAAACACTATGAGTTCACTTATTGCTGCCATTGTGTAAGTGAATGAAGAGCCCATCTACTGGTGGCTTCTCAGGGCCTGCCTTCCTCCCAGCACCCCTCAGTTTCCCATAACTTCTCAGCTATGTGCAGGACTTTGTGAGCTCCTCCCCCTTCCATGTTGAGATTTTTGTCTGGCTGGATCTTATACAAGTCTTGTGCATGCAGTCACAGATGCTCAGAATTCTTAAGTTCAGCTTCTTGGTTGTGTCTGGAAAATACTGTTTCACTGTATTTACATGTCTGGCTCTGACAATCTTCTGTGTATATCCCTGAGCCTCTGGAGGGGGTTCATGTGACATAAATGTCTCACTTAGGGTTGAAAAATTTCAATCTCTTATTTGATGCATGTTAACCAGTTGTAGGCTCCTGTGTTAATCAGCATCTAGTGCAAAAAGAAATCTCTCTTGTGGGACCTGAGAGATGTAATAATTTAAAACTGTACAGATAAGAACTTACAAGGAAGTTTATTATAGTGTTCATTTAGCAGAATAATTTTATTAGGGTTCCTAGTCCAGTTAATGGTACCAGGCATGAGTTCTGTCTTGTGGAGTGAACATTCAATCCAATCAGAAAGTGGGTATTCACTCCCATAACATTTTTGTCACTCTTGATCCAGGAGGCATATCTTGTCACACTTGCTACTGTGGATCATGGAGCTCCCACCTGGGTAAGACTGCTGGTTACTAGCCTGGTAGCATGCATACCCTTCCAGTACTATAAAAGCTAGCTAGTAGGAATAAAACTTCCAGATATACACCAGCTTGAGTTTTTTCAGTGTTCGATGACTCGAGTATGTGATTCATCAGCAACAGAGTCTTGCCAATGAAGTTCTTGACATAGCTTTTTAAAACTATTTTTGTATTTCCTTAGTTGAATTCCTGGATACAGAGATCACTGATAGGAAGAGCGAACTACGTATTAAAAGAGCATTACTGCCTCTTGCCAAGAGTTTTGCCTGAAAGGCCTCTTTGTGTTTTGTAATGGTCACACATCCAAAACATGCATTTGGTATCCATGCAGTTCCATTCTCTTTGTGAGGCACTATCCCTTAAAAGACACAAGGAATGCAAACACTTTTTTGTGTGTGAGACACGAGAGAAGAAAGACGACACTTCTTCAGCTTAGTGATATTGGGTTGTGTATATCTTTTTCTTACAGACTATACATGCTTCCAAATTGAATGTCTTAATTACCTGCTCACTTTATATGTTATCACAAAATTCATCACTACCTTTTACTCTGTTTTGAAACAAGATGTCACTTCGATGACAGAAAATTCAAGGTGCAAGTTTGTATTAGTCAGCATAGACCAAGTGGTGCTGCAGTAACAAGTTTGTATTAGTCAGGAAAGACCAACTCATGCTGCAGTAACGAGTTTGTATTAGTCAGGATAGACTGAGTTATGCTGCAGTAACAAGCACTACCAAACCCTCAGTGGTTTAGTGCAGCACAGCTGTGCTTTTTCTGACCTAAAATAACACTGAGGGACCATGTGGGTGACCCAGAATGCTAAGCCGTGTCATTCCCTAGTCACTCCCTGTTGGCATATGCTTGTACCATACCATGACTGTGACAGAATCCTGGTGAATTGTACCCTGGATCTTCAGCATCTTGGTAGACTAGAACTGTCATTTGAACATCCATAATCTTACAAGGCAGTGAAATTTAACCTTCAACAATGGAATAGAGAATTGGGAATGTTGGTGAGTAGTGTTGATACCTGTGGAGTCAATTTTGTCTCAAAGAACAGGAAGGTGTTGTGGTTGTATTATCTCCTTTAACTTTATGGCTTTACTGAGGATATTAACAAGACTCTAACGTGAAGTCAACTGTGTGTTCTGGCCAAGTCTTACAGAACTGGAACTGTGGGGGCAGAGGGTGCCATATCAAAGCAGAAACACCTGTCTTTTTAATATGATTTCAAACACTATAAATGAAAAAGTGACTCCCTAAGAGTTTAACAGACCCGAGTTTCTGAAACCAATTTTAAACAGAAGAAAGACCTGCAAGGTTTGCTGTTCTTATCAGATCTGAGCCCCTGTTAGCCTTTTGAAGAATAGCATCAGCGGGCAGCAGAATATCTTAGCAGTGTTACCATGGTTCCAGCTGGAGAGTTTATTCCATGCATTTATTTGAGCATGGCAGAAAGAAAATGTGCTGAATCCCAATAGCCAGTCATGGTGGTGCATCAAGAGTTCCACTATTATTCTCAGGCACTAATTGGCTTTCATCCACAGACCCTAACTTATATAGTCTTTCGAGGAAAAGGAGTGGTGGGATGGTATCATGACCATCCATGATCCCCAAACACAGGGCTTATGTTAGGACTCAATAGGGCTGAGCTAACCTGAAGTGTCACCATAGGACCAAGTAAGTTTTCCCTTCTGTCATTTGTCTTTTCTGTTTTTTCTTTCTCTTTACAGTGTGCATTAACATTTCGGAGTTGTGCAGTGAGACAGCACAAATTTTCATTTGATAAATCCTGTTAACTCAGGCACCATGAAGTCTTATGTAACATTGGTACCACTTTTAGGAAATACAAGATCCTAAATAAGTCATGTGTACTGTTTAGTGCAATGAAAAGCATAGTACCCCATTGACACGATTCCACTCAGATATTGGCTTTTAGTTATTCAAAAATGTTCAATACCAAGACATTACAGAACAAATGTTTAAACAACCATTGCATCAGAGTAAGTATAATGTATTGCAAAGGAGTAATAGCTACAAAAAAGAGGTGAGGAAGAAACTATTAACCAAAGTGGTTGGTAAACAGTGCCTTAACTGGATGCTTTTATACCTGGGGTAGCGGGAGCTATTGTACTCCAGTTTAGTTCATGTATTTCTCACGAAGGTGGCTCAGCAATTCTGAAAGTACTTGATGCTTACAGTAGGACTAAGCAGATAGAAATATTGTCAGTCACAAGAGAAGTTTCTTACTGTTTAAGAATAAAGTTACACAAGAACAACATGTAACCTGCGATGCTGGATTCAAACCAAGGGAACTAGAACAGACATTTAGTGTGTAATGTGCGCCATACAGGTTGAGAAATACAGACATTGGATCACATGGCAGCATTTGCCAGCTACGCTTGCTTTGGGGGTCTGTCAGTGACAAAGCTGGAGTCCTGTCTAGCAACCAGATCTTAACTTTGGAACACCATTTCTCAGAGAAACTACAGCTCTCTGAGAAAGAGATTAATTGCATCCTTGTAGAAGGGGGAAATACCAATGATCTGGGAGCATAGCATAGAGCCACAAATTAGGAAGTGCTGAAAAAACATAGGTCTTATCAAAACACAGAGCTGACCTAGATGGTCACAGTGAAAAAACTTTAGCAACAAAACAACATTATTAGATTTTACCCTTTGGAATAAAATATCCTTAAGTCCATACTGATAACACAGTTAAAGTTGAGTGAATGAATAAATAAGAGTGCATACTCTTTGTTACAGAAAAATACTGTTAATGAGTACAGAAGGAAAAACATTATTAAGCAAATGTGCTTTAGTTGTAATTGTGAAAACGAGATCCATTGAGCAGTGCAGAATAAACCCGAGCAGAAGCAGGATGGTTCTCGAATCACCTAGTGTCTTCTCCATCATAGTTGAAAGGATAGCTTGTAGTAGAGAGATCTTGTAGACAACACAAAAACGAAGCACTGTAGATAAGCATAAATGGTGATCAGATAGTCGTACCAAATCCGTGGACACTGCACACTAAGGACACACTATTATCCACTGACCAGAAAGATAAGGCAGAGAGCAGAGCAGACTCAGAGGTGAAGCAATGCAATGCAGAAACTCTCAGAGAGGAGAGGAGACAGGTCCACCAGCGAGACTGTCGGGGGACCTAGAGTAAGTATAAAGTTCTATTGTTACTCATTCTGGCAAGTTTGTCCTGGTTAGTGATGCGAATATGAATGGAAGGGCAGGGGTGTTTAATAAATTAGCTCCAAATAAACAAGCTTATGATGAGGTTACAATTCAAGTGAGGCAAAATAGAAAAGGTGACAAGACAAATCACAAGTGTTTGAATAAAGGTAAGCTATTCTTGCCTTCCATGTATCGCATTTTCCACAGCGGAACGGCTCTCTAACAGCTGGCTGGATGTCCGTCATATCGAAAAATACGTAGATCAAGGTAAAAGCGGAACAAGAGAATTGCTGTGGTCCTGGGCACAGAAAAACAAGACCATCGGCGATCTTTTAGAGATTCTCCAGGAGATGGGGCATCAACGAGCTATCCATTTAATCACGACCTATGGTGAGTCTCACACTGTGGCTCTCCAGACATCCTATGGTACTTGTCATTTCTGAATAGAAACACTGCATTTTACCCAGACACTGGCCAGCCTTGCTGTCTGTGACCTGTTGCTTGTGAATGTGACACTTTCTTCCCTTGTTGCTTAACAATACAAAACTTTCCTTTCTAATTTTTTTGCGGGGGGGGGGAGTTGTTTTTGGAAGTTGTTATGGAGACCAGGCTGGCACTGAACTCACAGAGATGCACCTTCTTGAAGGTGGGGATTAAAGGCGTGCCCCACTCTCCTAGCAACTAAAGGATTTTAACATTTCATTTAGCAACTAATAGCATGAGCTTTTCACCTAAATCTCAGGATAAGAATAAAAATATTTAAATAAAATATACAATGCTATTTTTCATTTCATTATATTATTAATAGTTAGCAACAACATTGGATCTCCCAGTTATAGACAGTTATTGAATCAGGTCTTTGGATGTAAATGTTGCCTCCAGGATAAAGTTGTGACTCCCCATGTTGGGCCGTGGGCTTTAATTGTGCCTTACTTATCCGTCATTCACTGGAGCTTGTCTCATCTGTTTGTTTTTATCCATGCCTCATTTATGCTGCAGCACCAGCGTGACTATCAGAAGCTAACTTTCAGGAGTTGGCTCTGTTGTTTCTGCTCCACATTCCAGACTAGCTGGTATGTGAGCTTGTAGGAGGATGGTTCTCATATCTTCACCTCCTATCTCCCCTAGAAGTGCCGGGATGACAGTCACACTGCAGCTTTCAGCCTTTTTTTTTTTAAATGTGGGCTCCAGGAATTCCAGTGTACCATGGCTGAGCAGGTGTGGAGGCTGCTCACTGACTCCGGAGGCAGAGCTCTTACCCGCTGCCCGCTGCTATCACTGCCAGGATGTGCAGCTACACGGATAACCTCCTTTTTCTTGCCTTTAAAACCTTCTGTTCTTTTTGGTGGATTACCTTTGATTTGAGAAGAGTGTTCTACCCTTCATATTTGAACCTCCAGGCAGTCCCTTAGATTTGAATTGTCTTTTGAGTCTCTGCCTGGCCACTTGGCTTCTTGTTTGTTTGGTTTTTATTTTCTTCATGTGGCTTCTGGGGATTGAACTCAGATTCTCACACTTGTGAACAAAGAAAGCACCTCTCTGACTGAGCTATCTCGCAGAATCAGTGTTCTCTTGTTTTCCTTTTGAGGTAGCTTTGATATACGATACACAGCTTTCTACTGGCTTCTTAGAGGAACTATTTTGAAGCTGCCATTTCCTGACAGTGCAATATCATCTTTGTTTTCTTTAATAACAAAAGAATGATGAACTGCGACACATGTATAGTTCCCAGTCTTGAAATGGTGTATGTGGCAATACCTGATCCAGGGTGTGTGTTAGCGAATGAACATTGGTGACACAAATGCTTCTATGCCCTTTACTTCTCTTGCAGGAGCAAGCGCCAATCCTTTGGTGCATCACCATCGGGAGCTTCGATTTCCCAACGCTTCACCCAACGTAGAGCATGTGTGTAAAGAGAAAGACCCTGGACCTCTGGTGCAATTCCTTTCATAGAGATTGAATGCTCTGGCGGAAAGATGCTGGACGCACAGGCAGTGTGTGACTCTAGGAAAGCATTGCCTCTCCTTTTGTCTGTATTTAGTTGAGGTCTGTAAGCATGTGAGGAGTAAGCATTGTCTCCTTCCAGGACCTCCAGGAACGGAGACTTAGAACTACTAAGGAGCTGTGAGTTTCTCACTCATCCTAACTCAGCTCTTAATTTCCTTTTTCTGTTTGATGTTGTATGCAGTTGCTAGTTTTTCTTTTTCTTACAGCAAATCATTAGTGACTTTTTAAAAAAGCATTGCAATCCATTTAAAATTGACTGTAATATAACTGACTGTGGCCCTCATACTTTGCTGCCCCAGTGGACGTGGACACCGTGTCTACAAGGAAATGGATACTATTGGGTGAAGTGAGCTGGGTTTACTCTAGCTTTCTTCTAAATTAGACTTTGCTCTGTGGCAGTGAATAGTCTCACAGGGAGCTATCCATTTCTGTCAGGGCTCTGCTTTTCCTAGACTTAGAAAGTGGAATTACTTAGTATATATTTCTTCTTTCAGGAGTCAACCAATATCACAGCGGATAATGTTTTTGTTCCTGAACATAATGAAAAAGGTAAAAAAAAAAAAAGAAAAACAAAAGCAATTACATCTCAATTTAATTAAATCACACTCTCATATTAGTGAGTTTGCAGGGGAAATAATAAATAATCATACTGTTTGTACTCCAATTTAATATAGCATTTTCATAGATATTAAATATTTTTATTATTTATTTTTAAGTTTAAATTTAGATTAGAAACAAGGTTGCTTCACAAGTCAGTTCCAGTCCCTCTCCCTATCCCTCTCTTCCTCCCATGCCCTCCCGATATTAAATATTTTAAAATTTGATAGACACATAGTTGTAGTGGATGACATTGTTATGTAAGGATCCATTGGCCGAAGTTGTCTTTATAAAACACATCAGTGAATCAGCTGTGCTTTTTTATTTTTTATGTTCATCCTTGTAGCTCTGGGTCTTGAACTTCCGGAGTGCTCAGCCAGCTGTCTGCGGCTGAGTCGCACCTCTAGGCCCTCTCTTTTCAATCTGCATTGGGTTATCTTTAAATATCTTCACCAAGCACCTACTATGGGTGATCTTCACTTACTCTGAAGAAACCAGCTAGGTGGTTAGAGGCTGTGGCTGACGGAAAGCTTCTCTATTAGCAATGCTGGGGGAGCACTGTTTAGTCATCCCGAGAGTCCACTAGGTCAAAAGCAAGGTGTCAACCGAAGGACAAACTTATTTCTCGATTCATGGCCTCAGCTAAACTTCTTCAGTTAATCTCTGAAGATAAAAATCATGCTGCCATTCAGGCACCTCAGAAGCCCCATGCTGTATTGAGGGATGAGAACCAGACCCAAGCAAATGCCCAAAGGACACTTGTGGGCTTCACTGTGGCCTCCTAGGGCTTGCTCCCAGGCCTTCTGCCCTGATGATGTGTTTTCAATATATACGCCCTAGTTGTAACAGTGATGTTGGTTCTTAGAAGAGAAGAGATGGCTCATTGTCTCCCCCTTTCTTCCCCCCTAAGGAATACTGCATAAACCCTCTATCAGCTTCCAAAATATCATAGAAGGCACCAACCATTTCCACAAAGACTTCCTAATTGGAGAAGGGGAGATATTTGAAGTATACAAAGTGGAGATTCAAAACCAAACATATGCTGTTAAATTATTTAAACAGGTACGGAACGAATTACTATAATGGACATCAATTCTACTTGTTTGCTCCTATTTCATATTAAAAATGTGCCTTTTTCACTAACATTGAAGGGGTATATATTTGAAAATAAAATTTCACTAATGCAAGTGAGATGTATGACCTTGGGGTAGGGTTAAGGCTGAGAAATGGTGTGAATGCCTGTCCTAAAGGGGAAGCAAAACCTCTCATCCCCAGATGTGTTGCATGAGAAAGGCTTTTCTAAAAGCCATCCATGGCCCCAGGAGCTTCAATGAAGAGCAGATTGGCTGGGCGTTATGGCCTTAATCTCCAGAGCAGGGGGGCAGAGGCAAGCAGATTTCTGTGAGCTCAAAGCCAGCCTGGTCTACAAAGAAATTTCCAGGCAAGCTAAGGCTACACAATGTGACCTTTTCTAAAACAAAGAGGGGAGGATCAGCTTGTGCACACTTGCTTAGTCCCAGTAGTGTCCTCTCCCACAACCGCAGAGCTATGTATGCTACATGTGAGCACGTTTATGGACGATCTTTTATCAGAGCTCAGGAAGGTGAGAGAGAAGAGGCACCAGCAGGACTACGTCAGTTTTCCAGCATTGCCACAGATACCTGCAAGAGTTAAGTTGAAGCCAGAAAGGCTTTTCTGGCTATGGCTGGAGGGGTTTCAGTCAGAGCTCAGTTGGTGCTCTTGTGCTCTGGCCTGTGGTGAGATAGAACACTCTAATAGAACTGGGTAGAGGGCAGCTGCTCAGCTCATGATGGCCAAGAAAGGGGCACAGGAAGCCAGGGCCAGGGCATAGTCTTCTAGAACACGGCCCCAGTGATACAAGGCCCTATAACCTACTATATGTATTATACATATATGTATGTATGTGTATTATACATATATACTATGTATTATATATACTATATATAGTATACTATATTGTGTGTATATACATACATATACTATATAGTATATATACATATACACACAATAAATATATATTGCATAATATGTATGTATATATATATATATGAATAAATAATTGTGTGTGTGTGTCTATCTGAGGAGGCCAGAGGCTTTGGATCCTCCTCATTTAGAGTCTTAGGCAGTTGTTAGCCACCTGGTAGATATGGACATTGGACACTGGGACATGAATTCCAGTCCTCTGCAAGAACAGTATGTGCTCCTAACTGCTGAATATTTCCTGAGCCTTGAGTGCAGTAATTGTTTTGTAGATGTATCCATTGGAATTGGGCTTTGCATTTTGACTGATTGGGTTTTTCTACAATGGTCCCCATCTGTCGGAAAGAGAGGTTTCCTTGATGAGGGGTGAGAACTATACTTAGCTGTGGCTATAAGGACAAATGTTTAGAATGCAGGCAAGGATTTACTGATTTGGTAAAGTGATGATTGTAGGTTCTCCTCCAAGAGCTGTAACTTCACTAGTTCTGGGCAGTTGGCTAGGTTTCCATTACTGGGCATGGTTTCTCACCCTCTGTTGAGCAGGTCTTAAGTCCAATCCAATTAGAAAGTTGTTGATTACCACCAAGTATTCACTACTGTGCCCTCAGGGTTATCATGTCATGCTGGTCATTGCTGAGACACAACACATTTTTGTAAAAGTTTCCTCTATGTAACTGGTGCTGAGAACTGTTACATAAGCTGAGACAAAGTCACTGGGGAAGGTAAGAGGGAGTAAAATGAAGTGGACCAAAACTGGTGGCAAGGTTTGGGAGGTACAGGACAGATGGAGTCTAGACTGATTCCTGCTTGTAGCTTACGTTTCAGACATTTTATGTAATTGAGTTCTTCAATGTCCTTAAATTCCATTTTGTGTCAGTAATCTCATACAGACACATTGAGATTCCTGAGACCAGCTATCTACTGAAGAAAATCAGATTGTAAAGCCATTCAAGACGTTAGAATATTGGCCCTTAGGACACAGTTGAAGCCAGTTTTTAAAACTGTCAACGAGTCACTGGCCCCACTGGCACACTCTCTCTTGGTTGAACCCTAAGGCCACCTCCCTGAAGGATCTCTCTAGTCTTCTCTCTGCAGTGGCTACCAAATGTGCAGGCTCTTCTGGAATTTTTCACTAGACTGACTTTGGGGTGGCATGTTCTTGCCTCTGGGTCTCCCTTTTTTTCCTTTCTTGGTTGTATCCCACCGTCTAGCATGGTTTCAGTGACCCAACTAAGTCACAACATCACTGCCTCATTGCCTCATAACAAAGTCTTCAACTGCACTTTCAACTGGAGTAACACGCTTTCTCTTGAGAACTCTGATCTCTTTGTGCATCCCAGAGACTTATTACAGGGCTATCATCAGTATTTGTTCAATGGGTGTTTGATGAGTGGCTTAAAGGAAGACCATACAGGTCATTTTCAAGAATTTAACAGTATGAAGTCCTGTTGTACCTGGTGGCCCTACAGTATAGCTCCCTCTTAAGACGGCAAGTGGAAGTGCAGGGCTTTTGCCCCCCCCCCATCTTTTTCCCCCACCTCTTTTTTTTTTAACCCAACACACATAGGCAAATGGAAGACATAATCATGCAAGGCCCCTTAATTAATTAACTACATGCTTTCCTAAAGGGATGCATTTAGAAACATTGGGATGGTGCCTTTAATGCTATTTCTCAAAGTACCCAAAGTGGAACATTCTATCAGGTGGTCATATCTGTGTTTCTCAACTCCATTGTACTCCCAGTCACCCGGACATCATCTTACAATTGTTGGTTTGGATTTGGCCGGTCTAGGCAGCAGCTCAGTGGGAGGGCTAGTGTTCCCTAGCTGTGCCCAACCCACATGAAGTGTTTTGTTCAGAAGTGCCAGGTTTACAGAGGCACAACCAGGAGTGTCTTTATTTAATATATTAAAACTGATAACAAACAAACAAACAAAACCTTCAGTAAAGATTTACAAAATGTAGGCTGCAATGAAGTAGTCATTGGAAAGGATTAACTAGCCAGGTTAATTGCTTTTAATTCAGCTTGGACAGTTGTACCCAGAATTCTCCTTGGATTTCTATGGCAATAGAGCTCTAAACAGTTGATTCTAGCAAGCTGCAAATGAGGAGCTTCTAGCTAGGACCTAGGAGCATCTCAATGCAACATTTTAATGGTAGAAGCAAGGAACTTGAGATCCAGGAATGTACAGTGACACAACATTGAAGACACCAAGGACATGCCATCTACTACCCAAGTGCTCAGAACAATGTTGTTGAAGTTATTAATTTATTCAATTCCTGTGTGCCTAGATTTTGGCTAGAAGATGATGATGATGATGGTAGTGATGATGATGGTGATGGTGGTGGTCATGATGATTAGACAGATTTCTTGTGTAGACCTGGGCTAGCCTTAATCTCACAGAAATGTATCTGCCCTCTAAACAGTGAAATTAAAGGTCTGCACCACTTGTCTAGATTTAAAACTTTGTAGTAAAAAGTTATAATTTGTTTTGATAGTAGGCACATCTTTTCAAAATTAATGCAAAAATAAATTTGAATAGACATATGCAAATGAGCCAATTCTTAATTGCTTAATCAGTGGAAGTTGGCAAAGAATACGGGTAACATAGTGTGTGTGTGTGTGTGTGTGTGTGTGTGTGTGTGTGTGTGTGTGTGTGTGTTTGATCAGTGAGGAGCTGTTATCATTGTGGAATTTTCCATGAATACATAATTCTTTAGAATTTGTGTAAATGTCTGAAACTGGTTTGTTTGAATATGAGATTTGCAACATGGCAGATTGCAGGAAAACTTTCAACTCAAGAGTAGTAGTTTTAAGTCTTGTTTAGGAGTTAAAATGTTTTGAAAATCTGAGGAATGCTAAGGATTCTCTCCCTGGGGGGCTTGAGAGTGAGGACTCAACTGTATCAAACGGGGAAACTCTCCCTAGACAAAGATGCTCAGAAGTAGAGAGATAGCTCCTAAATCCTTTTCTTTCTCTTTCTTATATACCATTCAGGAGAAAAAAATGCAGTTTAAGAAGCACTGGAAGAGATTTCTATCAGAACTGGAAGTTTTACTCCTGTGAGTTCATTTTGTTCATCATGGATCTTACAGCAGTATTGGCATGGCTGGCATTTAATTAGTGTGGGTTGGATGTTAAGAACATTGGGTACACTTTCGACATCTGCTTTTGTGTATCCCTTAAAAGAAATTTCAAAATAGAGCACTTCCATGATTCATTTGGACATATTGAAACAAGAGATTGTCTCAAGGAAGCAGGTTAAATTGTGTGTGACTAATACTGCTGAATAGTAATTCTTAGCATGGCACGTGTGTCCCCTTCCCCTTCCTCAGAGATGTTCCAGTTGAGAGACTGTTTCATCCGAGTGGCTCTCTTCAGAAACGAGCTTTAGACAAAGAAATCAAGGGCTTTTGACATGTGTATGATTTTCCTGGGAATTCATTCATGAATCTGGGAGTCCCGGGATGCCAAATTGAAATGAGTTCATGTTTATGTAACTTCTTCGTAAGTGCAGCTGGAGGCCCACTGGAGGCCTCTAACCCTGGGGAACTCACCTCTCCTTACAAATAGAAGATGCTTTGCCCTGGTGTTTTTGGAGCAGATATGTGAGATGGGGAGGAGAGGAAAGTAGGGAGAGAAGCATTATGCTGCATCCTGTCCCTTTTATAGCTAGGGCCAAGGACTAGAATTGAAGGTAATATTAGTGGCCGATAACGTACATTCAATCCAGATTATGTAATAATAGATTTCTACGGTTTCACTTATTTATTTATGAAGGTAAGATTCAGACATCTCAAAATCTAAGAAGCACAAGAGGTAAATTTCTAAACCACCTTCCCTCACTACCCAGCTGATTTCTTTTTCCCAAAGGCAATCTCATTACCAGCTTTCTGTATATATTCTTGAAGGTCTGTCACACACACAAATACATTTTGGCTTCTTATTTTCATCCTTCCACACAAAAGGTGACATAGCACACAGTTCACTCTGCTTCTTGCTGTCATATTCTATTCTAAGGTTACCTTTCTTCTGTTGAGAGGTTTAAATGTCTCATCTTTTTTTTTTATTTCCAGTTTAAATTTAGATAAGAAACAAGGTTGCTTCACAAATCAGTTCCAGGTCCCTTTCCCATTCCCTCCCTTCCTCCCGTGCCCTCCCTCCCCCCCCCCCCGTTATCCCCTCAGAGACAGGGTTTCTCTGTATTGTTTTGGAGGCTGTCGGTCTAGCCCGGCCTCGAACTCACAGAGATCCGCCTGCCTCTGCCTCCCGAGTGCTGGGATTAAAGGCATGTGTCACCACTGCCCGGAATCATCTTTTTTTTTAACCCAAGAATGATGTACAATATCAAAAAAGAAAAAAGAACATTGCTAATACCAATGTTAAAGAAATTTTGTTTTAGGGTCCCAAATGTTGTCAGATCTTTTATTTAATTTCTGATGTATCAATCAAGGCAATTTTTATTTGTGTTTTAAGACTCATTTTTCCCCTACCTCTTTCCCTAGTACCATTCATTGAAGAGATGTTTCTTTCCCTTTGTGTATTTTTCACCTCCTAGTCAGGGTTTTAGTTAATGATGTATGCACGGATTGGGTTATTTTTGGAGTCTCCCTTCTGTGCCACTAATGGGTGGGACTGCTTTCTGACAATGCATGCTGATTTGATTACTAAAGCATTGGCATGCTACTTTAAATGGGGGCTCTGCTTTCTCACATTACATTGACTGTTTGAAGTCTTTCATGGTTTCATATGGGTTTAGGATTTCTCTTATAGTGAAAAAATGTTGTAGTTTTGGTAGGGATAACATAAAATCTGCCACTTACTTTGGGTAGCTTGGACAATTTGGCAGGATTAATTCTTGCAATGCACAATGCCAGATGTATGTTCCCAATTGCTTGTGTCTGTAATTCTCTTACTAATGTAGTTTTAAGTGTACAGATCATTTAATCTCTGTGGTTAAATTTATTCCTTAGTATTTTATTCTTCCTGATGTCTTAGGAACAGACAGTTTTCCTCATTCTTTATTCAGGTAACTCATTGTGAATGTAGAGAAATAACATTGATTTTATACGCTGATTTTGTATTGGGAGAATTTAGCGAATTCATTAGTGCTAGCCATTTTTTTGGTAGAGTCTTTCAAGTTTTCTACAAATAAGATCACGTAACAAGCAAAGTGAGACAATTTAACTGTCTCCTTCCTACCTCAGACGCCTTTTTGTTGTTGTTGTTTTGTTTTGTTTTTGTTTGTTTGGGGTTTTTTGCCTACTTTCTCTAGCTTGGATTTGCAGTGCAATGCTACATAGAAGTGGGTATGGGCCCCCACATCTCATTTCCACTCCTTGAGGAAAATACGCTTGTCCTAGTGAGTTGTCATTAGTTATGAGTTTATGGTAAACAGCATTTATTGTATTGAGGTGCATTCTCCCCACAATTCATTGAGAGTTCGATCTTGAAGGGCTTCTAATTTTGAAAAATGCTTTTCCTGCATCTGTTGAGATGATCACGTGACATTTTTACCTTCACCTGGATAATGTGGATGTTATTGGTCACTTTGTGCGTGTTCTGCCATTCTTGAGTCCCAAGGATATACTTCTACTTCATCAGGGGATGTGGTCTTATAAAAACAGTATTTTAAGTCTCTGAGAGTTCATACAAGGTCTTTGATCATATTACTGCCATTTCCTCATTCCTCTCAGGAATACCCTCTCTGTCTTCACCGCCCTATCCACCTAACTTTGAGCTTTCTTTTCTATTTTAACCCATTAGAACTCTTCCCACCCCCTACTTTTTTGTTTGTTTATTTGGTTTTAGTTTTGGAGACAGGGTTTCTCTATGTAGTCCTGGAACTTGTTCTATAAACCAGGCTGGGATGGAGCTCAGAGATCTGTCTGCTTCCTGAGTGCTTGCTACACCTGGCAAGATGTAGGTGTCTCAGCTCCTGAGTTTAGTTACAGACACCTTCTCAGAGAGTTGAAATAACCTGACCGCCTTTACACAGCTGATATAAAGTCAGGGACACAAGCCCAGGTTTGTGCATCCTTCAAGTCTGTCTGCTGTGTCTCACCATGTAGACTTGTATTGTTTTGCCAACGGTGGCTATTTGGAAATGTTTTCTGAATTGATTTCAGTTAGTATCAGATTTGCTGATCTTGGTCTATATAACTTAAAATTCTTGTAGACTTAAAAATTGCTAGGGAAATTATCAGTGGCATGAATTTATAGACTCAAAAGTAGTAATCCCAACTGTCTTTCTATGTCCATTCCTCACTGACATCTGAGCGAGCCAGGTTTTTTTTCTACTTGATCAAATGTTGAAAACTAAGGGAATTGTGGGGCTGGAGAAAAGGCTCAGCAGTTAAGAGCACCAGGTGCTCTTGCAGAGGCCCCAGGTTTGATTCCCAGTATCCACATATCAGCTCACAACCATCTATGATGACTCCAGTTCCAGGGAATCAGGTTCCCTCTTCTGGCCTCTACAGGCATCAAGCAAATAAAGGGTGAACAGACATACTTGCAGGCAAAACACACTTGCATGAAATAAAATTAAAATTAAAAAATAAAAACAAGAGAACTGAGAATCATGGGATGCCTTGCCTCTATGATGTCTCCTACCTACTGCTTTCCAAAAGATGTTTTTCTCTGCATTATTTTAGGCTGCAGGAGAACCAGCCAGCCAGTGGTACAGATTACCTGTTTAAGCAACTTGACATGCCTCCTCAATTTATTACTAGCCCACTCTTTTCCATTGTACAATCTGAATTATAATAAAGTATAGGGATCTTATTTTTGACATGTTTTAAAATGTAAGTCTTTCCATGTTATTTATATATGTGTTTATAGATACAGATATACACACACAGACATTAGCTCATTTGAGGCAAGAGAAATAAAGTAGCCACCACCACCCCTGTAATGCCAGATAAATGTATATAAATTGTAAATCTATACATGTGTATGTAAGAGAGTATATTTGTTATGTTTGTAGGAAATTTGCTACAAAAGAAGCAAATTATAGACCTTTATAAGTAGAACATTTTTAACAGCTTCATTTATTTTAATGTTCCCAACTATGCCCAAGATATAGTATGTATTCATTATATTAAACTGAGCTCATAGTCTTTGCATATTGCACATTTTGCAGTTACCTGGGCCATTAGTACTTTAGTTGCTACTATGACAAGACACCTGACAAAAAGGTCTTAAATAATTGAAGATTTTTCTGGCTAATGGTTTGAGAGTACAATTCATCACAGCAGGAAGTCACAGTGGTAGGATTGCAGGGTGATTGGCCTTATTGAGTCCACAGTCTGAAAGCACACAGAGATGAGTTCTTGTGGTCTGCTTGCCTTGTTCTTTTTCGTAGTTTCTGGACTCTAGTCCATGAGATAGTTCTGCCCAAAAGCAGTGCTTTCCCCGTGGTGATTCTAATCTAATCAAGTCAACAGAGAAGTTTAATCGTCACATCTGGAGTGTACTGATCTCCATAAAGCAACAGTATCCAAGGGTTAGCGTTTATTCTGGTTAATTGGTCAGTAACTGATTGGTATAAGAGCCTAAGAGTTACATAGTATATTAATGTAGAAATATGTAATTCAAGGTCAGTGTCATAGTTTTATACTTTAAGCTACTATTATGTGGATTTTAGATAACAATGCAAGCTTTGTAAAGAGTCGAATAGCTGAAAGAGTTTGTCAGTGGGGTTTCACCCAGCACCTGATGCAGCAAAGGCCTGTTAATGGATGAGCGAAGACAGTCTTCTCTAACCCTGTGCATTTGTGAGTTACTTGCTTTGTATCCTTAACCAGCTAGATCACAGTTACGTCGTCATTATTTGCTTAACACAATAAAGATATGACACTGTTTCATATCAGCAAAAATAACTGAAGATGGAATCATGCTTTCCTTTTTGTATGAAGTTCCCAGGATCCCAAACTTTAAGAAATCAATGCTTCCTTAAATGTCCTGCCTTCTGTTTTAATATATTGTTTTTATTTACATGCTGCAGTCAGCTAAAAGGGGTGAAGCTAGCACTTGTTGGAACTTCCCATGAAACTACTTGTCTCTAGGCCTAACTTAGTCTCCTATGAGAACTGTTTCCCACTGCTCCTAATCAGAGTCTCATTCACCTTCTATTTGAGTGATGGGATTGACGGTTTCAAACCTTCTGGTTCAAGGTTCCATCATCCCCACATACTAGAGTTGACTGCATATTTCACTGAGATGGAGAAGCTCTGCCTGGTTCATCCATATATGAGCAACGGGACGCTTTTTGACAGACTGCAGTGTACAGTAAGTCACGGCTACCATTCTCTCAGGTCCTTTGGCCTGCTAAAGCCTGGGGTAAAGGGGAGCTGTTGACTCTGGAGGGAGCTGACAGTGAGGTGAGCACACACTGGGGGGGGGGGGAGATTCAGGAAGCAGAGGACCTCTCCGGAAATTGATTTCTTACTTCTAGAAGGCTGCCTGAGCACATGAGTTTCTGGGTTCTGTGTAATATTGCCAGATATTTACAGTGAGTTTATAACAGTGAGTCTCGACTTCTCTCAGCACGTGGTGTTTAGGTGGGCACAGGACTGGGCCAACCAAAACCAGGGTCTTATGCATGCTAAGCAAGTATCCTATTGCTGGACTGTACTCTCAGCCCACCGGCTACAGTCTGAATAAACTAATGTTAAAAATTGTTGGATATTTCCCTAGGCTAATGGTTCTCAACAATCCTAATGCTACGACCCTTTAATACAGTTCCTCATGTTGTGGTGACCCCAACCATAACATTATTTCGTTGCTACTTGGTAACTGTAATGTTGCTCCTGTTACAAATTGTAGTGTAAATATCTGATATGCAGGATTAGGTGAGCCCTGTGGGGGTCGCATTCCACAGGTTGAAACCCACTTCCCTAGAAGCATGAGGAAAACCCATTTGGAATTAAAAGTAGGTTGCAGCAAACTGAAATAGTGATTCCCCTCTCACTCCGCTTGGCCTCTACCACCGTGGTATACCCACCCACATAGTGGTATACAGGTAATTTGCACCAAGAAAATACAGCAAACCAACTCCTCTTGGGTTCTTTTGTTTGTTTTTTAGGATAACACGGCCCCACTTTCCTGGCACATCCGAATCGGCGTATTGATAGGACTATCCAAAGCCATCCAGTACTTACACAACACTCAGCCGTGCTCAGTCATCTGTGGCAATATTTCCAGGTAAATGATCTGGGAACCTTAGGTTCCACCACACACCACAGCCCCTTTCAGCAAGGTGAGTGACTCAAAAATCCCATCCTCTTTGGTCAATATTCTTCCTGGAATGTATGAGTGTAATGAGAACTCTCGTCTATGTATGAAAATGCTTACATTTTTCTCAATGAAGATGTGTTCACCAGATTTCTCTTTTTTGTTTTTTGTTTTTCGAGACAGGGTTTCTCTGTATTGTTTTTAGAGGCTGTCTTGGAACTCGCTCTGTAGACCAGGCTGGCCTGGAACTCACAGAGATCTGCCTGCCTCTGCCTCCCGAGTGCTGGGATTAAAGGCATGCACCACCAATGCCCGGCGTTCACCAGATTTCTAAAGCATTGCATTAGCCATTTTAAGAGAGAAAAGCTGAGGCTTAGAGAAGTTAAACGTGGTTCCCTTAGGTGACAGTTTAAGAGGATTTTCTGACTGGTTCCTAAGGCCTTCTGATGTAAACATCAGGGAAGCCTAGCTAGGAGGTGGGAGGATGAAGGATGGTAAAAATCGTTCCTGCCTCTCCTATTTCAGAGCTCTCTTAGGCCGACTCTTCCCCTGCAGCTGTGTCCCATGCTCCCATCATTGCTACCCAGCTCCTGGGTATTCTCTTGCTTCCTGGTGTGGAGGGTTGTGCTCCCTAGCATGGAGGGAGGGTGAGCCGATGTTGGCTCACAACCGAATCTCCACCTGGAACTGTGCACGGGAGAAGGGAGATGCTGCACTCAAGTTATAGTCCTGCTCCAGGACAGGCCACAGGGCAAGCACCATGTGCTGCACCTGATTTATTGACATCTTTGAAAAGCATCACAGCTTCTGCAGCTTTTCCATGACATCAGTTAGGGCTGCCACAGCCACGACAGACTGACGACCTCTCCACCTGCTCAGTTCTGAGGTCTTCCTTTTCTCTACTCGCATATTTGGTTTCTTTGATTCAGTAAAAACTCAATGGAAAGACTGGGGCTTGTCCTGAAGACTCGAGGAAGTAGAAAAAATCCTGGAGTCTCTTCCATGGTCTTGGAACAGGAAGCCGGTGCTTCCAAGGCAATAGCCCAGGTACTTGCCTAGATATGTGGAACTATAAAATTGTGTAATAGCCCAGCCAGACAGAATCCCCGGTTGGTAATAGACAGACAGACAGACAGACAGACAGACAGACAGCTGATAAGAGACTAGTCAGAGCAAGGTGTCATGGAAGAGGTGACAACTGAGTTGGAAATACAGCTAATCACATATTTACTTTTTAGCTGGGGGAGGGCCGGATGACTGTTCCCTATCTGGCTGTTAGGGTTTAGATCTTAAGTGAGTGTGAAAGAACCTAGCATGGTGGTGGCTCATCTTAGCACTTGGGAGGCCCAGGAAGGAAGATTGCTATGGGTTTGGGGCCAGTATGAGATGCAGAATGAGATCCTCCTGAACACCTCCCCTGCTGGGCAGTGGTGGTGCATGCCTTTAACCACAACATTCTGAAGACAGGCAGGCAGGCAGGTAGATCAGGAACAGCCTGATCTACAAAGGGAGGACAGCCAGGGCAGTTACACAGAGAAACCCTATCTCAAACAAACAAAAAAACCTCCCTCAAAAGAAATAACTCCCAGAGGATGAAGATGTGGTCGCTGCAGTGGTCCTATTAGGAGATGTTGGCAGTGAACAGGCAGTGAAGTTAGAATCGTTGTGAGTGTCTCCTTGAAGGGGATGTTAGAGCCCTCGACCTTTCTTGACCTTCTCAGCCACCTTGGGGAGAACAGACCTCTTCTGTTGTACTTCCACACAATGATGTAGTTTCCTGCTACACGCCCAAAGTCATGGGACCAACCAACTATGGACTGAAACCATGAGTCAGAGTAAACCTTATTCTTTTTAAATTGTTTCTCTCCAGTATTTTGTGAGTGAGAGGAAACTGACTACCATGGCTGGTTTTCTGGAGTCTGAGGATTCTAGCCCATCCATAGACTGCACCTGCAGGGTCTCTGCCACCTCCAGAGTAATGATCCATGGGAGACAAGAAGGCAGTTTAGTTCAGCATGACTAAGTAGCTGGTGTTGGTTCAAGCTTCAGAAGTCTGACCAGGAGCAGTTTATTTTAGGCATATTTAAGCCAGCACAATTTGTCAAAACCTTTCCTGGTGATAACTAACTCGATCGATCTCATGTTCACAATAATGATTGCATAAATCTCCCCCCAAGGACCTCGAGGAACAGAGTAAGCTAAATGAAGATCAGACGTGACTACATTGAGACACTTTGTGAAGTACATATCACATCTGCCGTTCAGATGGCTTCTATAGATTGACTAAGAAAGCCAGCCTATGATAAAGGTCTGGATGAGGATCTGGTATGGTCCCCTCCCACACAGACAGTGCAAAAGTCACCAGGTTATTAACCATACCCTCTCCCAGCATTCTGGGAGGATAACAGGTTATGTATCCCTTCATCTGAATGAACAAACCATGTGTGTTTAACATTCCAGGATACTGTAGTGTTGATCTGCGTGCACAAGGACCTTCATGCTCCTACATGCACACAGAGAAACAAGTGTTCAAGAGTGAAATTCCAGTGCTGTGGATATGTGTTTGGGAGTCATGCTTTCACAGGGTTTCATCATCATCCCTGAATGTTCCAGTACAAATCAAGCCCTGTCATAGCCACTGGCTCATAGCCTTTCTGCTGAATTGCCAGCAAAGGTTTAACTAGCGCCAACTTCAGCTATAGACATCTCCTTCTTACTTAGTGATAGGCACACCTGTGATCTAGGAATTGGAATGAGACCAATTGGGTTCATTTGGGCCACCAAACGCCTGTCAGATGGTAACTGCACCATCTGTGAGTTGGCTGACCCAGGTCACCTTTCTGCATCTCTTAAGGGACCCCTTTCCTTCACTTGGAACGTAGACCTTGCTGATTCTTTGCTCATTGCTCATAAGAGGGTTCAAAGTCGATGACTCTCCCGTCTTAGACATACAGTTTGAAAAGCCATAATTAGGAAGGACAGCTTCCAGCAGGGGAGCCATATGTGTTCTTGACAGTTGGCTCAAAGATCTGTGTTGAACAATAATGAAAAATGGATAATCTTCGTTTTCCTTTCTGTATTGAACTTGAGACTAACGGATCACAGACTTTATTAGCAACCATTGACATTGATTAATATCAGTATCATAAAGCAACCTGGCATAATGAATATAAAGTGAGATTAGTTAGAAAAAGCCAAAGCTAAGTATTATGTAGCACATAATTAAAACATTGCAGTACTGCAAATTTACTTTTTAAAAATATTCGAAGTGAAGCCCACCAAAATATCAACAAGGCTTTGTCACTATGGCTTATTTTTGTAATGACTAGGATTTTCTTCCATTTTATCTTTAAAAAGCAAATTTAAGCTAAGACTAAGAAAGATAACTATGCTGTGTTTTCTCTCATGTGTTAAATCTATATTTTAAAAAAGATGAAAATACAAGCAGGGCTCTTTAGGAAGAGGAAGCAACCTTGGAGGCAGAAGGGCCAGTAATTACAGTATATGTGATTGAAGTAGATCATGCACACATAAGGAAAATTTTATGATGAAGTCCAATCCTTTGTACACTTAATACTTCTTGATGAAACACATAATCCAACTTTAAAAATGTTCCAGAATTATATTATATTCTAAAAGTAAAACTAAAATTTATGCTGGGGTTGATGGTACATGATTTTAATCCCAGGAAATAGAGAGGCATGAAGAGCTCTGAGAGTTCAAGGTCAGCCTGCTCTTACATCCTGCAAGGACAGCCAGGGCTACATAGTGAGAACTTACCTCAAATATAAATATATAAACAAACAAAAAATAGATCTTTTAGGACAAAACTCCCTACAATTTGTCATCAGCCTTTCTTTCACAAACTAACTAACATGAAGAAGTTCCATTGTCTAGAATTAATTCTACTATTAAAGGCTTCAATATCTTACACATTTAGGACTCTTAGAGATAAAGGCAGATGGCCAGATGTTGGTGGCGCACACCTTTAATCCCAGCACTCTGGAGGCAGAGGCAGAGAGATCTCTGTGTGTTTGAGACCAGCCTGGTCTACAAGAGCTAGTTCCAAGACAGCCTCCAAAGCCACAGAGAAATCCTGTCTCTCTCGGGGAAAACAAACAAACAAAACAACAAAAAAATAAAGGTAGAACTGGAAAATCTAGACAAGTCATTAAGACCTAAGTAAGTTACACAGGTACATAAAAGATGATAAGATGATACACATGCCCACACACACACATACATATATCATCACATATCATTACATATATTATACTATATATTATAACATATGTGTGTTAGTAGGGTTTCTATTGTTGTGAAGAGACACCATGGCCACAGCAACTCTTACAAAGGGAAAGTTTTGGACGTTTAGTTCATTATTGTCATGCAGGACATGGCAGCATGGAGGCAGACATGGTGTTGGAGGAGTTGAAAGTCCTACATCTTCATCTGAAACAGGAAGTGAACTGTGTCCCACACTGGGTGTAGTTGGAGCATAGGGGACCTCAAAGCCTACCCAAGAGTGACACCCTTCTCCATCAAGGCTACACCTACTCCAATAAAGCCAGACCTCCTAATAGTGCCACTCGCTAGGGGGGGGCATTTTCTTTCAAGCCACCACAATATGATTTAAAGATTATGTATCTGTTATTTTAAATATCTAAGGTCAAAATTCAATATAGTGCTATCAAACCCTTACTTGGAGCTAAGTAATTTTTCTGGTAAAAGTTAAAAGTACTGGTTTAAAAGAATGAGTATATAAGTCTAACCAGGATTCATTTACAAGCATTTGGTTTATATCCAAGTCTTACATGAATATTACACAGACATTAAAAGTACCTTACTGGTATCACTGGCTTTTTGAGTGCTCAATAACCATCCTTAAAAGCCTATACTGTGGATAGAAGGATGAAATGAGAAAACACTTTGCCTTTTAAGGTCAATTAGGTACCAGTGGTCTGGGGATC